AGATTACTGCTAACCAGAACTCCTAAATCTTTTTCGCAATCGGTAGTATTAAGATCTACATTATTTAGTTTATATGTGGCATGGTTATATAACTGTCCAACATTCAGAACTTTGCATTTGTCAATATTAAACTGCATCTGCCACTTCTCCGACCATTGCGTCAGTTTATTCAAATCATCCTGGAGTGCTCTAATGTCCTCATTAGAATGAATTGGACGGCCTATTTTGGTGTCATCAGCAAATTTGCTTATGTCGCTATTTATTCCCTCATCTATGTCGTTTATGTAAATTGTGAACAACAACAGGCCCAACACTGACCCCTGAGGAACACCGCTTGTGACGTGCCCCCATTCTGATTTCTCCCCATTTATGCAAACTCTCTGTCTATTTGTCAGCCATGCCTCTACCCAGGAAAAAATTTCTCCTCCTATTCCGTGTGCCCTAAGTTTCCTCAATAGCCTCTGGTGTGGAACTCCATCGAAAGCCTTACTGAAGTCCATATACACAATATCATATTCATTACCATGATCTACCTCCTCAAACAACTTAGTGAAAAAAGTTAGTAAATTCGTAAGACAGGAACGCCCCTTTGTAAAACCGTGTTGAGAATCATTAATCAATCTGTGCCTGTCAAGATGGCTACGAATTACTTCGGCAATTATTGATTCCATAAATTTTCCCACTATGGAGGTAAGGCTTATTGGTCTATAGTTCGAAGCCAAGGACCTGTCACCTGCCTTGTAAATAGGTATTACATTTGCCATTTTCCACTTATCAGGCACTATGCGAGTTTGTAGTGATATGTTAAAAAGATTAGCCAAAGGTATGCTAAGTTCCTCTTTACATTCCTTTAACACCCTTGCAAACAGTTCATCAGGACCTGGGGATTTGTTAGGTTTTAGTTTCTCTATTTGTCTGAGGACCATGTCACTAGTTACCGCTATCGTACATAGTTTATTATCATCCTGTTCTACGTAATCTATTATTTCAGGAATATCGCTAGTATTTTCCTGGGTGAAAACTGAGAGGAAGTAGGTATTTAGTATTTCACACATATCCTTATCACTGTCAGTGATCTGACCAGAGTTACTCTTAAGTGGGCCAATCTTGTCCCTAATCTTACTTCTGTATACCTGAAAGAACCCTTTTGGGTTAGTCTTTGAATCCCTTGCGACCTTAGCCTCATAATCCCTTTTTGCTTTTCTTATTCCTTTTTTTATTTCTCTCTTTAACTGAATATATTGATTTCTTAACTGCCCATCCCCTCTTTTGATACACCTATATATATGCCTCTCTTTTGACCAATGAGATGTTTTAATCTATTGTTCATCCATTTGGGATCATTTTTGTTAGATCTAATTTCCCTACTCGGAACAAAAGTTGTCTGGGCAGCTAGAACTATGCTCTGAAAAACATCATATTGGCAAACAAGATCACCTACCTGACCCATAGTCAGGACATCCCAATTTAGCCCACCCAAGTAATTTTTCAGTCCCATGAAGTCGGCCTAGCGAAAATCTGGGACAGAGATTTGATTGCAGTTATCTGGGTAATTCCATGATATATTGAAACTAAGTGATTTGTGATCACTTTCCCCAAGCTCATCATTAACCTCAAGATTATTAATTAGTGAATCTTTGTTGGCAAGAACCAAGTCAAGCAGATTGTTTCCTCTAGTTGGTTCTGTCACAACCTGTTCTAAAAAGCAATCCTGAACCGTATCAAGAAAGTCACTAGACTCAAGATTTCCTATCATATTGTTCTAATCAATTTGTCTAAAGTTAAAATCTCCCATTATCACAACATTTTCATATCTAGATGCCTTATGAATTTCATCCCATAACAGCTTACTGCACTCCCTATCAAGGTTTGGGGGCCTATAAATCACACCCAAAATTAATTTGTCACGTCCCTCGAGAAACTGTAGCCAAACCGATTCTGTGTTTGATGTTTCTAATCTTATATCATGTCTAAGACAACAATTTAAAGTTCTCTGACATACATCATCACACCACCCCCCTTCCTGTTGACCCTATCAGTGTGCAATAGTTTATAACCTTGTATGTTGCATTCAGAAGGCATTTCTCTATCTTTCAGGTTGAACCAGGTCTCTGTTATACCAATAATATCTATATTACCTACACTTGCAAGTAATTTTAACTCATCTATCTTATTTCTTAGACTCCTACTATTTGTATAGTAAACCTTTAGGGAGCTAGTCACTCATTGCCCTCTACTATCTCTCTTTGTTTGTTGATCAATTGATTTGCCATTACTAGCAACTTTATTTTGAATATTGTCTTTTAAACATATCCCTGAGGTATCCCGGTAATAACTGCTGTTTTTAACCCTAATGCTGCAGCCTGATTGTTTCCCACAAACACCCATACCTCTATAATCTATCAGTTTAAATTCCTAGACAAGTCATCAATTACCCTCTCAATTGAATTGGCTAATGCAACCACTCCATCCCCAGAGATATGAACCCCATCTCTTGCATACATATCACATTTGCCAAAGAAAAGGTCCCAGTTATCAATGAATGGGATTGCAAGTTCCTTGCAGTACCTGTCTAGCCAGCGATTTATACCAATTGCCCTAGACATCCATTCATTGCCCACTCCCTTTCTAGGCAAGATGCTACATATGACTGGGATCCCTCCCTTAGACCTAAATACTTCTATGGCTGACCTGTACTTATCCAGCAGCTCCTCTCTCCTGCCCTTCCCAATGTCATTACCCCCAGCACTAAGACAGATAATGGGCTTGTTCCCATTACCTGCCATAATATTATCCAACCTGCTGACTATGTCGCCAACACCAGCTCCAGGAAGACACTCTCTCTGTCTGAACTTTCTGTCTCTGTTACAAAATGCACGGTCCGTATATCTTACCTGAGAATCGCCTACTATTAAAATATTCTTACCTTGATAAGCAGGGGAATCAGTGGTACCTTCAACCTCACTAACCACTGAAGTACACTCGTCTTGGAGAACAGAGAATCGATTTCCTACCTTCACATCTTCTCTATTAACTCTCCTCATCTTCCTTCTTCCTGAACTGTGAACCACTTGCCACTTAAAGCGGCTGTCACTCTCACTGCTAGTGACCATTCCTACCTTACCAGCTAAATCCTTCTCACACTCGCTCCCAAACTCATCTATGCGAAGCTTCAGCTTCCTATTTTCCTCCTGAAGAAGTAGAATCTCCTTCTTCAACACATGAACCTGGGATTCTAAAGCACTACAACAAACCATGGTATGGGTAACAGCCCAAGCTAACTCCCAAGAGCTTGGCAGGTATGACCGCATTTGACCACTGACCTCAGCGTACTCTCTCACCATTCTCTTCACCTTTCTTTTACTCTCCATATACTCTGCTCTTCTTATAACACTTCTGCTTTGTAAAAACCTCTCATAAGCTACCTTCTTTTATCACACCCTTTACTTCATCATTCCACCAATCACTCCTCTTTCCTCTTGCACCCACCTTCCTATAGCCACACACTTCTGCCCCACATTCTAATACTGCATTTTTAAAACTATTCCAACCTCTTCAACCCCCCTACTACTCATACTTGCCCTAGACCACCCTTCTGCCAATAGTTGCTCATATCTCACCCGAACTTCCTCCTCCCTTAGTTTATACACTTTCACCTCTCTCTTACTTGTTGTTGCTATTTTCCTTTTGTCCCATCTACCTCTTACTCTAACTGTACCTACAACTAAATAATGATCCGATATATAAGTTGCCCCTCTATAAACATACACATCCTGAAGGCTATCCATCAACCTTTTATCCACCAATACATAATCTAACAAACTACTTTCATTATGTGCTATATCATACCTTGTATACTTATTTATCCTCTTTTTCATAAAATATGTATTACTTACTACCAAACCTCTTTCTACACATAGCTTAATTAAAGGCTCCCCATTTTCATTTACCCCTGGCACCCCAAATTTACCTACTACTCCCTCCACAACATTTTTACTCACTTTAGCATTGAAACCCCCAACCACAAGTACTCTCACACTTGGTTCAAAGCTCCCCATCCACTCACTCAACATTTCCCAAAATCTCTCTCACTCCTCTACACTTCTCTCTTCTCCCAGTACATAAATGCTTACTATAACCCGCTTTTCACAACCAACCTTTATTTTACTCCACATAATCCTTGAATTAATACATTTATACTCTCTGTTTTCCTGCCATAGCTTATCCTTCAATGTTATTGCTACTCCTTCTTTAGCTCTAACTCTATTTGAAACCCTGACCTAATCCCATTTACTTCTCCCCATTGAAACTCTCCCACCCCCTTTAGCTTTGTTTCACAATCCACAATCATCTCTTTCTTATCATTCGCACAACAACCACACATTCAAACATCCCACTTTGACAATTTTCTTCTTTCTCTTTTTAGTAGGCTATACGGGAAAAGGGGTTACTAGCTCATTGTTCCCGGCATTTTAGTTGACTTTTACAACACGCATGGCTTACAGAGGAAAGATCTTATTCCACTTCCCCATGGATATAAAAGGAAAAGCAATAAAAACAAGAACTATTAAGATAAAATCAGAGAAAACTCAGATGAGTGTGTATAAATAAACATGTACATGTATGTGTAGTGTGACCTAAGTGTAAGTATATGTAGCAAGACATACCTGCAATCTTGCATGCTTATGAGACAGACAAAAGACACCAGCAATCCTACCATCATGTAAAACATTTACAGGCTCTCGTTTTACACTCACCTGGTAGGACGGTCGTACCTCACTGGGTGGTTGCTGTCTACCAACCTACTATATATAATACAGTCTAATATCTGACAAAATTAAACCCCTTCAGTACATCCCTATGCAGTTTGAATAAAGCAGATAAAAGTCACCTACACACATGCAACAAAATCTCTCCACCCCTTGAAGATAGCCAAGTTTCAGGGTAGGGAGGAATATAACAACTGTTAGTGAAATAGGCCAAAAAGTATTTAGACTCACCCTGCTCCTCTTTACGAGACTGTTGCCTTCCCTGGTGCTCTTTTACCATGGATGACAACATGATCAGCCTTTACACTGATACAGCCTAAATAAGAGAGAAAAAATCAACTGAAAGTTTACCGATAGTTATAAATAAATCAAATTAGTTGCAAAAATTCTTAATGTAACGTACTCTAGATTAGTCACAACTGTATTTTATAATACTGTACTACAGTACATATTCAACCCACATATAATGAGTGGGAATATTATATTAAAAGGGAAGTGCTAAACCCACAGGAATCATAATGCCTGGAAAATGGGATGCAATCAGGTTTGATCCAAGGAGAGGTCAAATCCAATTCCTTGGATCAAGAACCCCTGGGTGTTAGTAAACTGGTGTGCATCACATCTTGGGGGACAAGACTGAAGGAAGAGCCCCAATGGAAATAAGACATACAGTCCTCAATGATGCACTAACTTTCTCGGGTGGTTAACCCTCTTTGATAAAAACCTGGACAAACCTTATCTCATCTTAACACCCACTGTGTGAGGAGACATGTGTCCTGTTTCCTGACTTACATAATAATGTACCACTTAACAACCAGTATCTTCCTTCAAACTTTATAAAGGTTAAGAACTAAAACTAATATTTTGCTAGTGAAGTATACAAATACAGTGTACATTGGACCCCCGCCTTATGATGGCATCGTGTTACGTTAAATCCGCCATACGATACATTTCAATGCAAAAATTTTGCCTCGCCTCACGCTAAAAAACTCGCCTTACATGATTCGTCTGGGACGCGTCCCACGTGTGGCCTCAGCGTTGATCAGGCTTTGATCCACCAGGAGGCCTGGTCACAGACCGGGCCGCGGGGGCATTGACCCCGGAACTCTCTCCAGGTAAACTCCAGCGCCAGTGTTTACAAGCCAGCCAGTGCGGTCGCATCTACAAATACATTTGGTACATTTCACATTATCCCAGTGTTTTTAGTGCTTGTAACTGCAAAATAAGTCACCACGGACCCCAAGAAAGCTTCTATTGCCATCCCTGTGGTAAAAAAGGCGAGAATTAGTATGGAATTGAAAAAAAAGATTAAGGAAATGTGTGCAAAATGGGTTGAACTGCAAACCTTTATGGATGAAAATCACCCTGACACAGCTACTGCAAGCCGTGTTGGCAACCTGTACAATGACAATGTTATTGCCCTTTTTAGGAAAGTCTTAAAGGAACGGGAGGTACAGAGCTCTATGGACAGATTTGTTGTGCAACAGAGGTCCAGTGACTCTCAAGCTGATCCTAGTGGCATTAATGGAAGAAGGGAAGCAACCCCGGAAAATGACTTACTACCTCAAGTCCTAATGGAAGGGAATTCCCCTTCTACACAATAACAACTTCCACACTCTCCCCTCCTCCCATCCCATCAATCATCACAAGATCTTCAATAAAGGTAAGCGTCATGTGTTCTATTCTTAGTAAAGTAGTAATTGTGCATGTCTTCTTCAGTTTGTGTGTATTAAAATTAATATTTCATGTGGTAAAAAAAAAAAAAAAATTTCATACTTTGGGGTGTCTTACACGGATTAATTTGATTTCCATTCTTTCTCATGGGGAAAATTAATTTGCCTTACGATAATTTCGGCTTACGATGAGCTCTCAGGAACGGATTAATATCATAAGGCGGGGGTCCACTGTATAGTTTTGTAGTGCCAACAATAAGTAAACAGGTTTAAACACTTTGTATTATATGGAATGAATTACTGATCATGGCAAGGCTAGTCTTAGTAAAACTATTTAAAAATAAGATTAAGGTTCATGTTAGGTTTGTGCTTCAATAATAATAATAATAATAATAATAATAATAATAATAATAATAATAATAATAATAATAATAATAATAATCTTTATTTCTACAAGTACATGTACAACATAAAGAGGCCTAACTGACATCAATGACATACACTACTATGTAGAAAACCCCTTGTTATGCAGAGCATTTCGGGCAAATTAGGTCAATTTGTCTCCAGACTGTGACTCACACCAGTCGACTAACACCCAGTTACCTGTTTTACTACTAGGTGAACAGGGACAGCAGGTGTCTTAAGGCAACATGTCCTAATGTTTCCACCTGTACCAGAATCGAACCACAGACCTCAATGTGTGAGCAGAGTGTGCCAGCACTATACAATGATTTTGTATAGTAAATTAGGCAGAATTTAGTCTAGGACAGACCAATAAATTTAGTCAGCAATGCAACTTATTTCCATTGGGATCCTTCAGATAATTTAACAAGATTTATGTATGGAAGATTTCTTCACTAGTAGAAACATATCTGACTTCTGACCAATCAGTGTAATGTGAACATACTCCTAATGTAACATTTACAGTACATATTGTTTTTTACACCACTTGCCTATTGTTAATAGTATTAAGTGCAGAGTATAAAACAGCACATAGATATACCTAATCATGTGCGTTAACAAGGACCCCAATGAAAACAGGAAGAATTTACTCAGACTGTTAACCCAGAAGGGTTAATAACCCTGAATAACCCAATGTGATTTGTTTTTATTGGTATATTCCTTAGGTTCTCCCCCAGGATGCAACCAACAACACTTGACTAACATCCAGATATCTATTTACTGCTAGTAACAGGATTAATTTATAAAAAAAAGGCATACAGGCGGGTGTCAGCTCGCCATATGCCCAATGCCAGTGAGATTTGATTTTCACATGCTTCACTGTGAGAGGGTAAATAAGGGGCTGAAATAAATATGCCTATTTTAAATAAACAGGAGACCACCTAGGGTTACCTTGGTTAAACCCACATAATTACTTTTTTTTTTTATGTCCCAAAATAACATGACTCATTGGTAACTTTCTTGTCTACACACTTTGGTTTATTCCCCGGCACGGGTTTGGGGGTTTTGGCATTTTTCCTTTACACCTACTGCCCCTGTTAACCTACATGTAGTAATACCCGGAGGTGATCAATTGGTTTGAGTCGCATCCTGGGGGGGACAAGACTGAAGGACCCCAATGAAATAAGACAAGACAGTCCTCGATGACACACTGACTTTCTTGGATTACCTGTGGTACTAACCCCCGGGCAAAAAATTCCCAAATCAAAATTAAGGCATTGTAAATGTGTTGGGTGTCATCATCTGAAGCCTAAACTAAAAGCTGTGCAATATACATTTTTTGATTCTTTTCTTATAGGGGGAAACCTACAATAAGGACATCAAGGCACAATACCTGACTGGAATAATACATAAATAACCCAACAAGGGAAAATAAAACTTATGATGTCATCTGACTAGTAAGATTTTAGGGAAAGTACACAAGGGAAATTTTCAAAATGTAAATTACCTAGGATAACCCCCAAATCACACAAAAGCGCGAAGGAAGTAAGCAAATGTATAAGATACTACTACAGTTTGGGGTTTCCATTTGGGTACATAATACAAACGCAAACGTTTGTTTCGTACCGCCCCTTTTTCGGTTTAACCTGTACAAAACACGGACGCCCCGGTGTTTTGCCCCCGAAAGGGTTTTGGGCGGAACGCCCCACGACCTTTCCAGGGAAGGGGAAAAGGGTAAACCCGTAGGGGTCACACAGCGCCATGGTGTTAGGCAAAGCATTAGATCCGTGTAATCTCTAAAAGGGTCCAAAACCCTGGGTAGAGGTTTCTCGGGGCACACACCCCCCCACAACCAAAAAAAACAAAACACAACACACACACACACCCAAAACACAACAAAAAACAAAAAAAAAAATATATATTAATAATATATATATATATATATATATATATATATATAAAATAAAAATATAAATATATATAAATTTATATAAAACAACACTGCGCTAGCCAAATTTAACCCATTTTACTGGCCTGCCTCATGGTAAGCGAACCACATAATCTTTAAACCACGGGACCACCCAAAACCCTAAAATTTTTGGCATCGCAGTGTTGTTATTGATCATACCACTCTTCGGGTTACAAAAATATTTAAATACTGCCGTGAGGCTATAAAAAAAAAACGGGATAAAAGAAATTAGCTTAAACTCCACACCTCCGTATGCCCTGGGATGGCAGCCCAACCTAGCTGTTGCTTACTGCGCCAAAATTATATATATTAATAAAGCTATATTAACACACCCCCCTTGGGGTTTTCTTCTATTTTTTTTCTAGTTCTTGTTTTTTTTTTTCCTCTTATTCCATGGGGAAGGGGAACAAAATTTTTCCTCCTAAGCCATGCGGTTGTAAGGGGCGACTAAAATGCCGGGAGAAAGGGGGGCTAAAACCCCTTTTTGAATTTTTACTAAATTTAAAAAAGAAACTTTGTTTTTTTTTGGCCCCCCCACCTCAGGGGAAGGCTGGGCATTGAAAGATATCACTTACCCCCCAAAACCAAAAAAAATACTGAAAACTGAACTTAAAATTGAATCTTTAAATGTTTCTCACAATTATATCACAAAATTTTAAACCCCAAAACCCAATCAACTTTATTTTTTTTTAAATACACTCCAAACAGAATATTCCATACACTGAATGTACAACAATGTAAAACACTTTTGCTTTATGTAAACTGTTTACATTAATGTTTTTTTTACGATTCATCATTGCTTAGTTAATCTAAGTTAATTTTAACCAGCCCCTAATGCTATGCATAGTATAAGTGGCTTGGGGATCTGCTCTTATCGTATTTTTTTGTACCTCTGTATTGGTCAAAAATTTTAAATAAAAATATATAACAATAATACATATAATATATATAAATAAATTTTATAAATATAATATATATAAATTAATATAATATTTTATAATATGATATATATATATTATATAATTATATATATTATAATATATATAATATTATATATATTATTAATATATATATAATTTTATAAAATAATATATATAAAATAAATATAATATAAATATGTAGGTTTTAGACAGCAACCACCCGGGGGGGGACTACCGTCCTGCCACGGATTAAAACAAAACCTGTAAAGTTTTTTCAATGGGAGGATTGCTGGGTCCTTTTTTCTGTCTCATGAACACAAGTTTCAGTATGTCTTGCTACTTTTACTTTAAATTAGGTCACACTACACATACATGTACAAGCACATAAACACACCCCTCTGGGTTTTCTTTATTTTCTTTCTAGCTCTTATTCTTGTTTATATTCCTCTTATCTCCATGGGGAAGTGGAACAGAATTCTTCCTCCGTAAGCTATGCGTGTTGTAAGAGGCAACTAAAATGCCGGGAGCAATGGCTAGTAACCCCTTCTCCTGTATATATTACTAAATTTAAAATGAGAAACTTTCGTTTTTCTTTTTGGGCCACCCTGCCTCAGTGGGATACGGCCGGTGTGTTGAAAGAAAGATATATATATATATATATATATATTATAATATATATATATATATATATATATATATATATATGTATATATATATATATATATATATATAGTAGGTTGGTAGACAGCAACCACCCAGGGAGGTACTACCGTCCTGCCAAGTGAGTGTAAAATGAAAGACTGTAATTGTTTTACATGATGGTAGGATTGCTGGTGTCTTTTGTCTGTCTCATAAATATGCCAAGATTACAGCATGTCTTGCTACTTCTACTTACACTTAGGTCACACTACACATACATGTACACGTTTATTTATACACACTCATCTGAGTTTTCTTTGATTTTATCTTAATAGTTCTTGGTCTTATTACTTTTCCTTTTATATCCATGGGGAAGTGGAATAAGAATCTTTCCTCCGTAAGCCATGCGTGTTGTAAAAGTCAACTAAAATGCCGGGAACAATGGGCTAGTAACCCCTTTTCCTGTAAAGATTACTAAAAGAATAAGAAGAAGAAAATTGTCAAAGTGGGAAGTCTGAATGTGCGTGGATGTTGTGCAAATGATAAGAAAGAGATGATTGTGGATGTTATGAATGAGAAGAAACTGGATGTCCTGGCTTTAAGTGAAACAAAGCTAAAGGGGGGTGGGAGAGTTTCAATGGAGAGGAATAAATGGATTAG